CGATCTTCGCTCTGTTAGTAGGTCAACGGCACCAGACGATTTTCGCTATGTTAGTGGGGTCAATGACACCGGACGATTTTCGCTCTGTTAGTGGGGTCAGTGACACCAGACAATTTTTGCTCTGTTAGTGGGGTCAATGACACCGGGATGATTTTCACACTGTTAGTGGGGTCAATGACACCGGACGATTTTCGCTCTGTTAGTGGGGTCAGTGACACCGGAAGATCTTCGCTCTGTTAGTGGGGTCAGTGACACCGGACTATCTTCGCTCTGTTAGTAGGTCAACGGCACCGGACGATTTTCGCTATGTCAGTGGGGTCAATGGCACCGGACGATTTTTGTGGTACCTCCCCTTTTCATTTATCGGGCATGTTGGAAAATTTGTGAAAAACTACCGATTTTCGAAATCATTGGTGGGATATTAAATATTATTAGATAATTACATTAAATAGTATAGGGGACTAATATAAATACAATTATCTATCATAATATTTATTATCCTTATGTAATGTTTGTTAGAGTGGAACTTGACTGTATCTGAGCGCCACAAACCGAAAATACAATGTCATTATTTTATTATTGTTCATTTTATATGTATTAGATCCCTATAATATTTAAAATATCTATTATTAAATATTAGATTATTAGATATTTTAATTATTATAGGGACCTAATATAAATACATATAATATGAATAATAAAAAAAATTAAATACCATTTTCGGTTTGTGGCGCTCAGATACAGCCACTTTAACGAGCATTAGATAATATTAAATATCATATTAAATAATTATATATATCTAATGCTCGTTACAGTGGCTGTATCTGAGCGCCACAAACCAAAAATGGTATTTAATTTTTTTTATTATTCATATTATATGTATTTATATTAGGTCCCTATATTTAAAATATCTATAATTAAATATAAGATTATTAGATAATTATATTAGATATTTTAAATATTATAGGGATCTAATATAAATACATACAATATGAATAATAAAATTAAATAGCAATTACGGTTTGTGGTGCTCAGATACAGCCACTGTAACGAGCATTAGATAATATAATTATTTAATAATATAATATTTAATATTATCTAATGCTCGTTAACCCCTCGCCTACCAGGCACTTATACCCCCTTATTTACCAGGCCAATTTTCAGCTTTCAGCGCTGCCGCACTTTGATTGACAATTGCGCGGTCATGCAACATTGTACCCATATGAAATTTTGATCATTTTTTTCTCACAAATAGAGCTTTCTTTTGGTGGTATTTAATTGCCGCTGGGCGCTTTACTTTTTGCGCTATAAATAAAAAAATTGCAAAAAATGTGAAAAAAAAAAATTTTTTTCTTTGTTTCTATTATAAAATTTTTCAAACAGGTATTTTTTCTCCTTCACTGATGTGCGTTGATGATGCAGCACTGATGGGCACTGATAGGCGGCACTGATGGGCACTGATAGGCAGCACTAAAGGGCACTGATAGGCAGCACTAATGAGGTGGCACGGATAGGCGGCACTAATATGCAGCACTGATAGGTGACACTGATGATGGATACTGATAGACGGCACTGACTGGCATCACTGCTGGGCACTGACTGGCAGCACTGACTGGCACAACTGCTGGGCACTGACTGGCAGCACTGCTGGGTGGCACTGGTGGGCGGCACTGGTGGGCGGCACTGGTGGGTGGCACTGGTGGGCGGCACTGGTGGGTGGGCACAGGTGGGTGGGCACAGGTGGGTGGCACTGGTGGGCACAGGTGGGTGGGCACAGGTGGGTGGCACTTCTGGGCACAGGTAGGTGGCACTTCTGGGCACAGGTGTGTGACACTGCAGAGTGGCACAGGTGGGTGCACTGCTGGGCACAGGTGGGTGATCTGCTGGGCACAGGTGGGCGGAGCTAGTGGGCACACTGCTGGGCACCGATCATCAGGGCACTGATCATCAGTGTCCTGATGATCGGTGCCGATCCCCGCTCTGACAACTGCCGGTTCTCGGCTGTACTTTCCTCACGATCTGACAGCGTGAGGAAAGTGCAGCCGAGAACCGGCACTTGCGTTTCCCTGTGATCAGCGTGTCATTGGACACCGCTGATCACGTGGTAAAAGGCCGCTGGGATCGGCCTTTTACCACATCACGTGATCAGCTGTGTCCGTGGGACACAGTGATCATGGAGATCGCCGGGTGCGCCCCCCCTGGGGCGCGCAGGAGAGCGCGTTCTGGGGGGACGTCATATGATGTCCACCCAGAACTGGCCGGCCGCAGTGAAGCCGTCATTCGGCTATCTGCGGTCGGCAACTAGTTAAAGTGCCTGTATCTGAGCACGACAAACCGAAAATGCTATTTATTTTTTTTTATTATTATTCACATTTATATTATATACATGTATTTATATTAGTCCCCTATAATATTTAAAGCTGAACTCCAGCCTGTTGGTCTTTTTGGGGACCTACCAAAAAATACTGTATTCTCAATATTGCTCACTATTCATAATTTATCAAATATGTTACTTTCATAGGCAGAAAATCACACGCTGCACCCACAGCCCCGGTACAAACGAAAGTCCCTCCTGGAGGGGCCCCAGGCAATGGTGGAGCCACAGACGACAACTGGGAAGTCAATCTTGGACTGGTGAGGAGTGATGAGGACTCATCGATGGCCAATGCCCAGAGCAGAGAAAGTGAGGAGGAGGAAGTGGAGGAGGAGGAGGAGGACGCGGAAGGTGCGGGAAGAGTCGCAGGCTTTGCCGATATAACTGATTAGAAGGAAGAAGACTCAATGGATTCTATACGAGGAAGAAAATGGCAGTTGGGATTTTATGGATGACGCAACGGACAAACAATGGAATACGAAAACATTTACAAGGCATTGGGAGGTCGGAGGAAGGAATTCGTCTGCAGAGAGTTGTACAGATGGACGATCCCCATGTCTATTCTGTATTCTACATCATTTTAGGGTTGCCTATCATTTATTAAGCTCTCCGTTATTCATTTACATGCTAAAGGGTCACAAAAAATATACTGTATAGTTTACAGATAATATAAATAGAACAGCATAAAAAAAGGGAAAAGAAACAATTAAAATCAAAGTAAAAATAAATAAATAATACTTAAAAAAACCAGAAAAAAAAAATAAACTAAAAAACAGATATAAAAAGATAAACTAAAAAAACAAACAAAAAACAAACAAAAAACAAACAAGCATAAATAAACTAAAAACAAACAAACATAAATAAACTAAAAAAACAAACAAACTAAAAAATAAATAAAACTAAAAAAAACAGCAAATAAATAAATTAAAAAAACACATACATACATATAGAAAAATAGTACAATGCTACCCACTTGCCCTCCAGAAGATTTAACCCCTTTCATGATCAGGTCATTTTTTTTTTCTATGCAGCACTGTGCTACTTTATCTGGAAATTGAGCAGTCATGCAACACTATACTTAAATGACATTTTTTTTTAAATAATTTTTTAACACAATTAAAGCTCCCTTTTGGTGTTTGACCGCCACTGGATTATTTTTTATATATATAAATGAAAAAGACAAAAAAGTTTGAGACAAAAACAAATATTTTTTTACTTTCTGCTGTAGATACAACAAAAAAAAAAAAACAAGTGTTCATAAATTTAGGCCAAAAGGTATTCTGCTTCATTTCTTTGCCAATAAAAAAAGAAATATCCCAATAAGTGTATGTTGATTGGTTTGTGTTATAGCATCTACAGATGATGGTGAATGTGCTGGAATTTCTATTTATTTTCCTATTTTATACTAGTAATGGTGGTCAGTGACTTCTAGTAGGACTGTGATAGTGCGGTGGACAATCTGACACTGACACTGGGTGGAAACTGGATGACACTGACATCGCCAGTGACAATAATATTGTGATCAGTGATAATACTGTGCACCAGTGGTCTCCAAACTCCAGCACTATTCCTCCCACTGACACCAATGATGGGGCACTATTCTTCCCACTGACACCAATGATGGGACACTATTCTTCCCACTGACACCAATGATGGGGCACTATTCCTCCCACTGATACCAATGATGGGGCACTATTCTTCCCACTGACACCAATGATGGGGCACTATTCTTCCCACTGACACCAATGATGGGGCACTATTCTTCCCACTGACACCAATGATGGGGCACTATTCTTCCCACTGACACCAATGATGGGGCACTATTCCTCCCACTGACACCAATGATGGGGCACTATTCCTACCACTGACACCAATGATGGGGCACTATTCCTCCCACTGACACCAATGATGGGGCACTATTCCTCCCACTGACACCAATGATGGGGCACTATTCCTACCACTGACACCAATGATGGGGCACTATTCCTCCCACAGACACCAATGATGGGGCACTATTCCTCCCACTGACACCAATGATGGGGCACTATTCCTCCCACTGACACCAATGATGGGGCACTATTCCTCCCACTGAGATGAGTACGGAGTAGTGGCCATTGGTTGGGATGAGTACGGAGTAGTGGCCATTGGTTGGGATGAGTACGGAGTAGTGGCCATTGGTTGGGATGAGTATGGAGTAGTGGCCATTGGTTGGGATGAGTACGGAGCAGTGGTCACCATTGGTTGGGATGAGTACGGAGCAGTGGTCACCATTGGTTGGGATGAGTACGGAGCAGTGGCCACCATTGGTTGGGATGAGTACGGAGCAGTGGTCACCATTGGTTGGGATGAGTATGGAGTAGTGGCCATTGGTTGGGATGAGTACGGAGTAGTGGCCATTGGTTGGGATGAGTACAGAGCAGTGGTCACCATTGGTTGGGATGAATACGGAGTAGTGGCCATTGGTTGGGATGAATACGGAGTAGTGGCCATTGGTTGGGATGAGTACGGAGTAGTGGCCATTGGTTGGGGTGAGTACGGAGTAGTGGCCATTGGTTGGGGTGAGTACGGAGTAGTGGCCATTGGTTGGGGTGAGTACGGAGTAGTGGCCATTGGTTGGGGTGAGTACGGAGTAGTGGCCATTGGTTGGGATGAGTACGGAGTAGTGGCCATTGGTTGGGATGAGTACGGAGTAGTGGCCATTAGTTGGGATGAGTACGGAGTAGTGGTCATTGGTTGGGATGAGTACGGAGTAGTGGCCATTGGTTGGGGTGAGTACGGAGTAGTGATTATTGGTTTTAGCAGTTAGTAGATCATTAGTGAGCTTTAGTAGGGCGGTGTCAGTGGAGTGGAATGAATGAAAAGCCAGACTGTAAAGAGTCAAGAAGGTTGTTGTCGGTGAGGTGGGAGCTCAGGTGATTGTAGACTAAGCGTTCTAGGAGGTTAGAGGTAAATGGCAGCAGGGAGATGGGTCTTAAGTTGTTCAGGTTGGTGGGGTCCAGGGAGGGCTTTTTAAGTATGGGAGTGATGTGCGCATGCTTTAGAGGGGAGGGGAAGGCACGTGTAGAGAGGGAGAGATTGAAGATGTGAGTGAGGGAGCATAGGACGGAAGAAGAGGGTGACCGTAGTAGTTGTGAGGGGACAGGGTCCAGGGGGCAGGTAGTGAGACGGGCTTCTGAGAAAACCTTAGTGATCTCTTCCCTAGTAGCAAGGTCCAAAGAGGAAAGTGTTGAGGGAGGTTTAGTATAAGGTATGCTAAGTGGGATGGATGTCTGTGCAGTGGTGATGCCCCTACGAATTGCATCTATCTTCTTTTTTAAATAATTTGCAATCTCGTGAGCAGTGAGTGAGGTACTGGGTGGGGGTGGGGGTGGAGGTAGAGGAAGTAGAGAGTTAAAAGTAGAGAGAGAGACAACGAGGACTAGATAACAAGCTATTGATGAGAGTGACAAAGTAGGCTTGTTTGGCAGCATGGAGGGAGGAATTGTATGTGAAGAAAGCAGATTTATATCGGTGAATGCTTGCTGGGATTTGGTTTTACGCCACAATCGCTCCAGCGCACGACTATGTTGCTCAAGATTTCTGGTGTGGTCAGTCTGCCAAGGTTGTAATGGTCGGGGCCTGATGCTTAGTGTTGTTAGAGGAGCAAGTGAGTCTACTGTGGATGAAAGTGAACTGTTGTAGACAGCAGTGGCAGGTCAGGGCAGGACAAGGGAGAGATTCTGTCATAGAGTTGGTCAGTTGCAGAGTGGAAAGGAGCCGGGTTCAAGATGTGAAGGTTTCTGCGGGTAATGGTTTGCTGCTTGGAGGGATAGGTGTTTGAAGATGAGACTGTGAAGGTGATGAGATTGTGATCAGAGAGAGGAAAGGGGGTGTTTGTGAGTTTGTAGGGAGTGCAAAGATGGGAGAAAACAAGGTCTAATGTATTCCCATCAGAGTGAGTGGAGGACGGTGTCCATCAGAGTGAGTGGAGGACCGCGTCCATCAGAGTGAGTGGAGGACTGTATACATTGTGCTAATGCAAAAGATGGGGTTAGGGTGAAGAGTTGGGATGTAGCCGGTTTGTTGACATTAATGGGGATGGTAAAATCTCCGAGAATGATAGTGGGTGTGTTCAGAGGAGAGAAAGTAGGGTAGCCAGGTGGAGAAGTCATCAAGAAAGCGGGACACGGGTCCAGGAGGCCGATAGATTACTGCAATCCTCAGAGAAATGGGAGAAAACAGCCGGCTGCAGTAAGTCTGGGAAGAAGAGAAGGATAGAGAGGGAGGGTTAGGGAGGACTTGAAAGGTGCTCGGTGGGGATAGAAGCAAACCAACCCCCCCACCTTTCTGACCACTGGGTCTGGGTGAGTGGGTCCAGAGGAGGCCTCCATAGGGAAGTGCTTAGGGGGAAGCAGAATCTGATGCTTGGGGCTAGGTTTCTGTAATTGCTAGTAAGTTAAGGGAGCGGGAGACAAAAAGGTCATGGACAGAGGTGAGCTTATTACAGACAGGGCATTTCAGAGCACACATGAAAAAGGGAGGGTGGTATATGGGAGCATGGGGATTGGGATTAAACTGAGGGGATTGCGGCTATTCCTGGAGGAAAGAGGGTGCCTGGTGTGGAGGTGAAATACTGGAGGACCAGGGTTTGGGGAGATATCCGAGGTTAGGAGAAGGGTGAGGAAAGTGAGATGAGAGTGGGATGTATATGAGCGCACATGCCTTCCAGTCCTGGTGTTTGGGCCAGCAGGAGAGTGAAGTACCAGCAGGAGATGATGAGAGCAGTAGTAGGGAGATGGTAGCAGTGTGTGGGAGATGTAGAAGCTTTGGGATGGAGAAGAGGGGTAAAGAAATGAGATTGAGAACAAAGTATAGTAACATTAAAAGGAGGAGCAGAGGCGGCATATTACAAAGGTGCATGGAGTGGGACTCAGACTTGTAAGAGATGTTTCCCAGGGTGTTTTCTTGAAGTCCTTCCAGCATGCAGTAGAGTTCTTTGCTGTATTTTCCTGCTGCTTGAGTTATCCTGCTTTAGTTATACTGCTGGGATCAGCTGCTGCTTCGCACTCCAGCAGAAAATTCAGTCACACAGGCCAATGCCCCCCCCATCTGCGACTGTACCCCCTGTCTGTGACCTCCCCCATAAGCTGGTCTACATTTATAGGGAGATGATCAGGTGAGCAACTCTTCTACCTCCAATTAGGAACTGATAAGGATCACATGAATTTGGGGGGAGGTTGGTCAAAACCAGATCAGTCACACACAGACCAGGGTCAGAAAAGATGGATTCTCTGACCACAGAATATACAATCCAGATTTCGATAAAATTACATTAAAATTGCATCCAAAAACTTGACGCGTTTCATGGCTCTTAGGTCACTTCTTCAGGAGTAGATGCCTCTAAAATATCTGCAAGGTTAAACCTCAAGTATGGAACAACCTAGTGGTATCTTGTAATATGTGAAGTAGTTCCAATCTCAAGGGGCACCAGAGGGACCCCAGTACTTACAAATCAGCTAAAAATACATATGACAGTATTTCCAAATGGTGATCGCCAGGGGAGCTGTGGAAGTGGGACTCCACGAGAAACCAAGGGGGACAAGCTTGGAGCAGATTCAATCATGATAGCACCCAAAGTAATTACTATGGAGAGAAATTTGAATGCACATTATAGTAATAAATGAATGAAGAAATCAAGATGAGTGATATAACGTGTAATGCTGGCCGTGGTATAGCAGTGAGTAAGGAGACATATAGTGAGCGAGTATATAAGAGGTGTAAGAGACTGACCTAGTGGTAGAAGAAATGGAAAGACATTTAGGTCCCAAAGTCTAGTCCACAGAGAGGTATGCCAGAAAAGAGAGAAAGACCACCAAGTAGCCAGAGCCAAAATTTAGGCAGCCAAAGCTTGAACCACCATAGATCAGAAGTCCTCATTGTAATACTGAATAAATATTTGAGTCACAATAAACAAAAATGGAATGCAGAACTGCTGTAATAAAAGGAAACAAGATCACTTTATGAAATGTATTGCACTGGCGGCATGAAAAAGAGAAAGAAAAGGGAACCCAAATCACAGAGTCCGGTCCAAAGATGAGACTGCGCCTAGTGGTAGAAGAAATGGAAAGACATTTAGGTCTCAAAGTCTAGTCCAGAGAGTCTAGTCCAAAGATGAGACTGTGCCTAGTGCAGTGTTTCTCAACTCCAGTCCTCATGGACCCCCAACAGGTCATGTTTTCAGGATTTCCATTATTTTGCACAGGTGATTTGATCAGTTTCACTGCCTTAGTAATTACCACAGCTGTTTCATCTGAGGGAAATCCTGAAAACATGACCTGTTGGGGGTCCATGAGGACTGGAGTTGAGAAACACTGGCCTAGTGGTAGAAGAAATGGAAAGACATTTAGGTCTCAAAGTCTAGTCCAGAGAATCTAGTCCAAAGATGAGACTGCACCTAGTGGTAGAAGAAATGGAAAGACATTTAGGTCTCAAAGTCTAGTCCAGAGAGAGTCCAGTCCAAAGATGAGACTGCGCCTAGTGGTAGAAGAAATGGAAAGACATTTAGGTCTCAAAGTCTAGTCCAGAGAGAGTCCAGTCCAAAGATGAGACTGCGCCTAGTGGTAGAAGAAATGGAAAGACATTTAGGTCTCAAAGTCTAGTCCAGAGAGTCTAGTCCAAAGATGAGACTGCGCCTAGTGGTAGAAGAAATGGAAAGACATTTAGGTCTCAAAGTCTAGTCCAGAGAGAGTCCAGTCCAAAGATGAGACTGCGCCTAGTGTTAGAAGAAATGGAAAGACATTTAGGTCTCAAAGTCTAGTCCAGAGAGAGTCCAGTCCAAAGATGAGACTGCGCCTAGTGGTAGAAGAAATGGAAAGACATTTAGGTCTCAAAGTCTAGTCCAGAGAGTCTAGTCCAAAGATGAGACTGCGCCTAGTGGTAGTCCAAAGATGAAAGAATATACCAGCAAAAAATAGGCCACCCAAAGCCAAATGTGAAAACAAATCTGAGCACCCAAACCATGCCTCAAGCGCTGTACATCAAAGCGTTGCTTCTTAGTATCCTTATAGAACAAACCACCCCCCATATGCTACAACTATTTATTCCCAGGGGCTAATCAGCAGTCCCTCCCAACACCATGTGTGTGCAATTAAAGAGGGGAGGCACTCAACAAGTGTGGCTTCTCAGTGTCTTCATGGGGAGAAAAAAAAAGACTGCTGGAAGACACGCAAACCTTCTGACATTGGCAGGTATTGATGGGCCATCCTGGAGGAGTTGGACTGCCTGTGCCACCTCTGTAGGGTCCAGGTATGGCCTCATGCTACCAGTAGTGACACTGACCAGGGGTGTATTTACCACAAGGCAAACAAGGCATTTGCCTAGGGCGACATTTTTCAGGGGGGCAACACCACCCCCCAGCAAGAAAGGACAGAAGAAGGGACACATATGGCTTGGGGACCAGGTGGGATTTGAGAGAGGCTGAAGGCTGCTTGACTCATTCCTGGGGATGTCCAGAGCTGTGAATGTGAGTGTCTTTCTCTCTCTTGCCGGGAGGGGAGTGGTTGGGGTATGGGGGCAATGGTAGGGGAAGGCTCTCTCAGGTGGGGCGCAGGGGTGTTGTTGGTCAATGTCAGGCTCTCTCTGGGGGGGGGGGGGATTTTTGTTGCCTAGGGCAGCACAATACCTAAATACACCACAGAGACTGACCCTAGCCAGATGCAAGACTAGTGAACAACGGTCAGAAATGATGAGTAGGGAAAAAACGTCAGTGTCCTCCACCTGTAAAACCATTCCTGTTTTGGGGGTCGTCTCATTGTTGCCCATCTAGTGCACCTGTTGTTAGTTTCATTAACACCAAAGCAGCTGAAACTGATTACCATCCCCCTCTGCTACTTACCTGACCAGATCAATATCCCAGGAGTGTCACTGACTTGATGCTAGGCTCTGATTAAAAAGTCTTCCTTTCATTTTTTTGGGCAGTGTAGTTGGACCTCAGAAGGCACACAATATTTTATGACAACATATGTGGAGATATTCAACAGCCTGCCCCCCCCCCCCCCCCCGTGTTCAAATAGAGAGTGTTGGGGGAGGGGTACTCTTTATATAGAACAAACTAACAACCAAACACTGAACACTGGGTGATGACGGAGATGGAACTGCATGTCTTCTGTGCTGGAGGGT